TCACCCAAAGTATTTTCTTACTCACTCCCTTTTAAATTGCATATTTCTGCATGCGACTTTGGTTCCATTTACAGGCACAGTTTATGGTATTAAGGAGTTGGAAGTGGCAGAATGGACTGCTGTGCCATCTGTTCATGTCTGAGTGAGGAATGACGCCCCCTTCAGGATAAAGCCTGCCTTACTCCTTAATGCTTTTACTTTTGTGTGATACATGGCCTGGAACTGCTGTCAGATAAGACTTTCAATGTACTAAACATTTATCGCAAAGCTATACTAAACATTGAACATAGCGCTTGAATTGCTACACTTTGTTAGGCCGTCTGAAAGCACACTGGAAGGGAACTTGTAAAAGTGATCTGAAGTGAACTGAATGAGTCTAAACGATGCTGCAGGAACTCACAGGAATATCAGTGACCCAGGCATCGGAATTGCGCAAAAAGGATGGTCTGTGTGTCTGGAAAAAAAGCATTCTCCAGCAATTTATTAAAAATGTCCTTGCCAGAACATTCAGATACAATCACATGACCAGGCAGCAGCTCACCTCTAGCACGAAAGCCCAGACGTTAATCCACCAGAGGCCTGTGATTTTAAGTGACTTTGTCAGACATAATGCTGTATGCATTTGATATAGGGAAAGTCCATTTAGATTTTATTTTAAGAGAAGGCTTTGGGCTAAGATGTGCGACTCGCTTCTGCAAGAGAAACTCTGGGTAATTTAAAGGAAGCAGCAAAAACATGAAGACAGCAACTGCTCTCTTAGTGGACAATAAGTCATTTTGGTTTTGACAGGGAAAAAAATAAGAACACTCTTCTCTTCCATTAAAAGACAGCGACTATATGCTAAAGCATTTTTAAAAGCGTATTCATGCCATAAGGCATAAAAAGGTAAAATCATGTTACCAAGCCACTTAGCATGCGAGTGCTGCATGCCTCTTGGCAACCTTAGGAAGTGAGCCAGGAAGAGCCTGTTTTTATGGAAAGCCTGGAAATTTACTCGGCATTATAAAGCCAGGCGGTTCCGAGGAACTTGGATAGAAACATGCACAGATTTTTCGGCCAATTTACTGACCCTCGCCCTCCGACGGCACCCTCACCCTCGCCCTCCGACGCTAGGCCTCCGCAGGCACCCTCACCCTCGCCCTCCAACGCTAGGCCTCCGCAGGCACCCTCGCCCTCGGACGCTAGGCCTCCGACGGCACCCTCACCCTTGCCCTCCAACGCTAGGCCTCCGCAGGCACCCTCGCCCTCGCCCTCCGACGGCACCCTCACCCTCGCCCTCCAACGCTAGGCCTCCGCAGGCACCCTCGCCCTCGCCCTCCGACGCTAGGCCTCCGCAGGCACCCTCGCCCTCCGACGCTAGGCCTCCGCAGGCACCCTCGCCCTCGCCCTCCGACGCTAGGCCTCCGCAGGCACCCTTGAGAGCCACGGAGGGAACAGCAGCCCTACAACCTCAGCCTAGATTCAGCACAGCTCCATTTTGTCACCCCTGACTATGCCTTAAATATTTATCCCCTATATGAAAACAGAAAATATTGATATCTCTTTTAAATATACCTTAACCATTCAGAAGTAAAAGTGTGTGGAACAGAATATCATATTGTTAAACAAAAGTGAAGTGATCGACTGGGTTGCCAGGGGTTACTGCATGAAAGCTAATCTGCTTAGACTTGTGAGGACAAGATCCAGGACCAGCAACAGAAGATGGTGTATGGTTGGAGCAGCTCTCCATTGAGTTCCCCCATGGACTGGGGGGATGGGGCAGAAATACCTACCCACAGTTGATCCAAGCAATGGTCCCCTGGCCCTTCACCGCCTGGGCCACCTCAGATAGCAGTTTCAGATGGCCCTCACCAGACATGTCTGCATGAGAAAAGAGAGAAGATGACTGACAGCCCTCTGGGAAGCAGAAGCAGACAATCACCGCCCCCCTCCCTTCATCCTGAGTGCAGGCGAGTGACAAGGAAGCGTGCAATTACAATTCAAAGTTTTTCAGCTTTAACCCAAGCCAGCGACGTCTGCAGCGACAGCCCAGGACATCACTTACAGAGCATTAAAGGCGCTTAGCAACTTCAGACACAAATCACTAACGTCTCATGGGCGTTTGAGTCACAATAAAAATTCAAGGGGAAGACAAACATTCTAACTGGAGCAACAGACAAGGTCATTTTCATCTGTCGCTAAAACATTTGTGGTTAAATAATTCTAACACAACACTGTCTGGGTGATTTTGGGTCTGACGGCAGGAGGGCCCAGGACAGGCTCCATCCCCTCCCCTCCCCTCCCCCTCAGGTCGGCACTTAATCATCAAAAAAACCGTCAAGGTCTGATTCTTCACATCGAATCCAACAAGTTTCAGTTTCGCAGGCTGATTGTGGAATTTCCCCAGAGGTAATGTTGGCCAGTTTGACAAGCTTTAATTCCCTCTGACGACTGCTGACAGACAGACAGCATGAGAGGTACATTCAAGACGTCTGGTGGGAGACAGCGACGATGCCCTCAGCGGCAGAAGCAGGTCAGAAAGCAGAGATGAAGGCAGGAAATTCAATTAATGGGAGGGAAAAAATGAGCATCAGAAAGAGCTGCCCTCTGACACCATTGGCTACAGATGGATGATCTTACAGCGTGTCAAACACTCCAGCCTTATCCAATGGTCACGTTTCAATAGCAGCATGATATCGATTTTGGAACGACCGGAAAGCAGTGACTTGAGGTGAACTCATATTTGATGCCCATGAAGACTACTGTAAAGTAGACGTTAAGGCTTAGCTTAGGTATCCTACAATTACAGGACAACGGTTTCAAAGGTCTCTACTAACCTGACTTGGTGTACAGGATGAGGACATTGGTTCTGGTCCTGAGGAGCTTTTTAAAGTCCTTGTGGTCACTGACCGTCTCGATGAGGGGAGACACCTTCACTGCCTGCAGCACGGAAGCGCTCCCAACCTGCAGAGAAGAACGCAGAGTCTTAGCCGAAGTTCCCAGGCAGTAGCTGCACGCCGGGCTGCCCACATCAGTCACACAGCTTTTAAAAGTCAAATGGTGACTCCAGGCAGACGGTGACCTTACATTCCCAGGCGGGTTTGTGACACCAAACCCCAGCGGCGGGTTTTAACACCAGCACCCCATGCACTGATTAGCGGATTATTGGCGTTGTGCAGTTTTCCATTCTCACTCTCAGCTCAAAAAATAGCTCGAGTGGCTCGCTTGGGGCGCCTCCTAGTCATAGCAGCCGAGGCCTTCAGAGAAGGAAACCCACCCCAGCACAGTGGCCACGATCGAGCCAACCACAGAGAATACACCGTATGCAAGGAGATGCTTCAACAAGCCTTAGGTCATTCCTGAACAGGAAGTGAGCTCTTCCTCACTACTCCGTTTTACTCGCGGTGGGCACAGATGGCAGTGGTGCTTGGCACGCTCCTTCATTCAGAATGATGAACAAACTGAGAAATGTAACTTCTGAAATTACTCGGCTGTGGCATTAGAACTCCGAGATGCACACAAAACCAAGCGCTTTAATGAATGGCTGTCAAGACAAAAGGTGGCAAAGGCAGCATCTGATATGCCTCCGCCGGATGCGGTTGGGGGGATAAATGATGAGCTCTGTGCAGTGTATGAAAATCCAATTTTCTCCTTTTTTGGAGCTTCCTGACTCATCAGACGTGTTGATTAAATGACAGGGTCCAGCCAGCTCCAGAGGCACCCCAGGGAACGAGGTGACATGACAGGAGATTCATAATTAACGCATGGTGGATCCTGAAAGGCCAGGGCGCTCTCGCTGAGGGGGAGATGGGGGCAGGCAATCAGGACATTGGGCAGGAGGAGGAAGCATGGTCTGCTAGTGGAGATCACACATTAATGTGACTGAGAAGCTCGAGGTACCAGAAAGATGGACCCTTAACAGGACGGTGCCTTACAGAAAGAGGACAGTCTGGTTTACCTCTTGAAAGATATTCACCAGAGGAAGCACCTAAAAAAAAATTAATAAAAAAAAAAAATCACACTGAACCAAAGATATGATCCTAAATTGAAAATGTTCTGAAGGGTGATTTCTCTGCTTAGGGACTGTTGGGTGGCTACAATTACACAAATAAGGAACACAGAGAGGACACATATGGTCATGTTTAAAGCTCTCAGCTGTTCCAGTACAACCAGAAGGCAGAACAAAGACTGACCTGCAAAACAGACAATAGGCTCATGTCCCAAAAGAGCCTTGCTGTAGATTCTCCAAGTTGAAGTAAAATATCCACAATATCTGTAAACACGAGGAACAGAAGGATACAAGTAAACTGCAATGTACCTCTGATAAAAGGATTAAAAAAATTCAAGGCAGGGGCATCCAGTATGCAAGGCTATTCACTATGCCAGGCTATCCAAGACAGAGCCATCCAGTTTGCAAGGCTATTCACTATGCCAGGCTATCCAAGGCTATCCAGGACAGGGCCATCCAGTTTGCAAGCTATCCAAAGCTATCCAGTACAATGCTATCCAATTACAGCTTTGAAGGGTTAAGGTCAAGACATGTTAATTCTAGCCAGGCACTGAATACCAAAATTCTGCTTATGGTCTTTCCCGACCCATTTTAAGATGTGTACTGGGAGCTGGAAAACTTTCTGGTCTTGTCTCTCCAAGACTGCAATTAAATGGCTGAGGCAGGGTACTCTCCACTTACAGTAACTTAATATATTACTCAACACTCCTGTCTTCATGTGACCTGAAAATGGTGAAATGGAAGGTTTAGTGCTGCTGAAACCTGCAGGGTCTGTGCAGGTTTAACGCTAACATACAGAAAGAGTATGGCTTCTGAAAGCAAATGCTGGTGTCATGGAGTGTAAGAAAGCAAAGGGGATGCCATGGACTCAAGCAGTGATGAGAAAAACTTAACACGGGAACTTCAGAATTCAAGAGATATTTGCAGGTTAATGGCTTTAGGAACAAGAAAAAAATATTTTTTGACCAATCCATGAAGGGTTTCAACACCTCCCATGATCTCCATGAGCTTTAACACAGAATTTTTAAATCAGAATTTTTGAACGGTTCCCTCAGTCAAGGTTTAGAGGCCTTTAAACAGCAGGCCAGCCACCTTGTGTTATCAGACCAATGCAAATGAATCAAAACACAACAGCATGTCTGATATTCATTCAGTTTAAATGTTCCTATGTCACATCCCTCCTTGTCTCTCTTCACTGGCTCCATATTGGCACTCGCCAAGTCCTTGGTGTAGCTCAAAGGTCCGTCAATGGACTGGCACCCATCTTCATCAAAAAGATCCTCAAGACCTACGTCTTGCCCATAGTCAAGACCGACCATCTTACCCTCTTTGGTCAGCAAACCAATGCTGCTTGGACACCCCTCCAACACCTGGGAAGTGTCACTTCAGACTCATCAGTTCCATGAAATTCTCTACTAGCCTGATGCCTCTACATTCCCTGAATGTCCATATATTGCACTTACGGCCCTTGAATTGTCTTATTAGGTACTTTGTTAGAAGTTGTCGCATAGCTCCTTCTCCAAGACTGCATACACCTGTACCTGGGCAATCACTGGAAGCTCAGCCTAGCTACACCTTATGCCTAACTGACTCCTTGACAGAATATTAGTGCTATTTGTCTCACATATATGTTTGTCTCACACATAAGCTTTTCCTAATTATATTAAACGTAAATGGAAACGTAAACAAAGATGGGAGCTCTGCATACAGCTAACAGGTGAGACAACAGAAGCAGCTAATTAAACACATCTCTGCTGCTTCCTAGGCAACAACATTCATGATGCAAGTACTGTCCCAAATGACATGGTTCAGGGCCATTTCCATCTTCAGCAACTGCCTAAAAGAAATTGAGGAGGACAGGCCTGATGCCCCCACCACTCCAGAGCACACACTGAACAGGCTCCACTTCCACTTGGGAAATCTCTCCGTCAGCCAGAGGAAAGTGGAGAAATGCAAGGAATGGGGTGGAGGATTATCAGCCAGTGTTCACCGTGCCTTTCGGGAAAACCAGCGTCATCAGCATTAATGGTAACATACTCCCTTCTTATGGGGGGCCCATCTCTATAATTGGACAAAGACCCGACGAAGACCGCCTTCAAACTGCTGTAAGTCTTGGTGTGGTTTATACATTCAGCTGCAAACACAGCAGGAATAAGCGTCTGCCAGCCAATTCAGTACCTGCTACAGAGAAGCGCAACGCGGGGCCGCCCGCCACACCGTCATTCACCTTACCAAGGGGGACTTTAATGCCACTGTTTAATCCTTGACAAACGCAGGGGTGTCGGGCCATATCATCTGTGCCACTGTGCATTAAATTAGTGCGCAGAAGAGATACACAGTCCCATCTGTGAAGCAAGCTTTCACAAGCAAAATACGAGAGAGGCAACAAGCCGTAACCAACCTCAATGTGGAGTGACAATTCTGCAAAAAAAAAAAAAAAGCTTCCGCTTTTAAGGGTAGCACTGAATCAGCACAAATCACTTCAGTTTCTCCACCTTCTTAAAATTAATGAACCGCACTACTGAGAAAGATGAGTCTTGAATTATAAAAGCTGACACCAGTAAAACATTTCACTCCAAGCTTACAGCATAGGCTTTGCTCGTGCTGCACACTAAAGATTTCTGACCAGCTCTGTATAAAGACGCTATTCCAAGGACAGGGAATCGCATTAACATACTGAAAAGAGACTTCCTATTAACACTGATCATGTCACTTTGTGGAAGTACTCCCCAAAGTGCACCACTCAGTAAAAATTAAACTCAAATACTTTAAAAGGAATGTGAGCAGCAAGACAATGCAGCAAGCAGACTTAGTTAAAGCAGACTGAGTTATACGAGTCTAATCCAATTGTTTGCGCTTGTTGATAGGAACAGGATGCCAACCAGGAAGGTCCTGAGGTACAGGCTGCCAACAATAACTGTGAGAGCACATGTTAGTCACTGTGTGTAAATAGGTGGGGGATAAAAATAAAAGCATGCAGTTTGATGGCTATTAAAGATGTTTGTTTAAAAGATTCATCATAAATTAATTCATCATAAATTGCCTGTGGCATATTCCTTTACAAAATAGAACTGCTGGGACAAAGCCAAAAATAATGCAGATAATGGCCACCGTTTCCCTCCTGTATGGAGACACCATATAGGCTGGTATTCAGCAGGTTTGGGAGCTCCAGCAAACATGTGAGATGATCACTTCTATACCAAGACAACGCTCAAAGTAGCACATTTCACAGAAAGACAAACGCATCTACACAACTTTTTGTACCCTACACCTGAGTCTCTCATCCTGATATGTTAAAGCACATTTTTTGTTTCTTCCATCTCCATTTTATTATCATTGTTGTTTAAATTGTACACTTCATGCCACCACCTGCACCAAACAAATTTCTGACTTTTTGTACGTCTCGAATAAAATATTCTAATTATTCTGATGGTCCTAAGGATTCTAAGCACCGAGCTGACGGACGAGACCCCGATTCAGCCAATGCTCTCTTCAGTTATGACCTCTCGGCTCTTATTCAGAAACGGCGTAAACAGAGAAGCGCGTGAACGCGTATTTATTACACATTGCAAAGACGCAAATTAAGCGCTACAAAGCGCTGTCATTCACCGACCAACGTCTTCAAGTTCAACTTCAGGATTTCTCCAGCTCCCAAGCTAACAACTTTGCTCTGAACGGCTCACGACTACTGCAGCCTCAGGTGAACCGCCCACTGGGACACAAACAAGCGATTTAATAATACTACAGGTTCTCGTACTAACGCATTTATGTAACAGACACTTACCAGTAGAAGGAAAATGTACATTTTGAGTCCACTCATCCCACTCCTGCGGTGCTTCCATGTACACATGATGCGGCTGCCACGTCTAGTTACGCAGGCGCAAACCGCGGAAAACGGGATTTCGCCGCAAGGCGCGAGGATTTCTGGGAAATTTAGTTTTTTAAAAGGGAGTCTTTGCCTAAATTCGTGTTGAAAAACGGGTGAGAGAACACTACACTTCCCGCGATCCTGTTCCTGCCCCTAGTCGACAGGTAAAACACGTACAAGTTTACAAATCCTTCATTGTAGTTGTAACAATTTATGTTAAACATAGATTCATACATTTATTCATTTTATCTTATCAATCCTAACTAAAACAATGAGCATTCCATTTGAAAATATAGGCTGTAACAGTTATTCTAAGACTAATACTCAATAATATGCTCATTTTGTTTTAAATGCTTACACAATATATCAGCGTTAAAGGATATAAAGAGTATATAACGAGTGAAAATAATTCGAAATTGTATGGCTTGTAGTAAAACTGCATATAAACGTTTGCACAAATGCTCGATACAGCAGGCAAGTATCTCCACTACACAATTCTGACAACATACTCAGTAATTGAATGTAGTGATTTAAGTGTCACAATACATACATATGATTATTCATACATATCTGTCTACTTGCAGTCAGACTTCTGGTGCCCCCACCTGGATTATGGGGGTGCACATTTTCCATGGAATTGCAATAAACTGCACGACATATTCATTTATATTCAGCATCGCATTGGTAAAAACGGTCATTCATGCGTTTAATTGGTCGTAAAACCAATGAAAGGCCTTTTAGAACCTGAAGTACGGACATTTCGAACAACTTGTACGCGTGAATTATTCTAAGTTAATTTAAAATAGTAATCTTTAAATGAGTCATTTTACAACTTCACATTATTTACAAAAGGACTAACTTATTCAGAATTCGGTTAAATTACAAAATCTTCATTTGCATTAACGTTTTATAATAATAGCCTTTACAGTTGTATTTTAAATATGTGTTTTGTTGTTAAATGTTAAGTGTCGTTCAAAGTCTGTCTGGGAGACGGTTCGTTATATTAAATAGTAATATATAGTAAGTGTAGCTATTATAATAAACTATTAACCTTTACCAAATCTCTCCTCCCCACAGGATTAATACAGTATTCTGATTCTGATTCACGTTATGCATTTTGTATTTTGTGTACATTAATTGTATGACATACCAGGAAACTTCGTGCTCAGATTAATATTACATCTTTGTATGTTCTATAGGGCTTTTGCGATTATTGCCTTAAATAACAAGCATGCCAGTTAAAATATTTATATAGTGGAAAAATATACTGAAATTCTAATTATTTTAAAAATGGAAATGTAATTCAACGATAACGTCAAAAACAACACGATTGTTATTCCCTAAAATAAATTATATAGGTGTATACATGTTCCTCTTATCTTGAATAGTTTCAAACAGTTAACTAATTGCCATGGCACCTAACCGCGGAGATGACGACTACCCCATCGCAATAAAGGGGTGCAGCAAAGTTAAAACTAATACGTATAACTCTTTAGCAATTCGAAACAAAGGTTGTTATTGGGTGTGACTGTATAAAAAAAGCCGTTTTAATTCATCAGCGCAAAACACTTCTTTTAGGTAAGTGGCCAGTTTCCCATGATTGGGTTTCGGGTTTGGACACCCCTACATCGGCGGAGTTGCGCTTACCCGTGTAGTAGCTGCGGCTCGCCGAGACAGTGCGGATAGAGTGGAGGATCGTGTAAAAGTGGAGGTACCCCATTACTGAGACGCAGGAGCAGATGTGACACCCGTCGCCTTGTTTATCACAACAACCCGTCCGGAAAACTAAATGCTTAAGTCTTAAGACGAGGTAATGCTCAATTTTCAGTCACTTTGTATATTACCTGTGTTATTCTGGTTGGCAAACCGCATACTTCAAAGCAATTCTGAAGAAAAGTTTTTTTAATGTATTTCTGTATTTAACAGGCACTTCTAACGTGGATTTGTGCTTCTGTATATATTAAATTTAAACGTTTTGCGAGTTTAAACGTTTTTAGATATCTTTGTTTTATGAAGAGCTACTGAACGACATACCATTTATTTGCGTTTTAAAATGCAAAGCGCTACTGCTTGTGTGTCATGTATACTCTTATCCTTAAATTTAAATGTTGAAGGCGCATGAAGGCTAAGTAGCGATCGTTTTCCCACTTGCACTTGCCCGTTCGACTGTCGTGTGTGGACGTTATCTGCATTGTGGATGAAGGCGGACGGCTGTATGGAAAGAGCGCGTCGCTCGCTCGGCTTCACCTTCGGACGCAAACGCGACCGCGGGACCCCGCAGCACTGATATCGCCGGGGTGTACCCTTAAAAAATATTTTCCCTGTACGTATTTTAGTAGAATTAGATCATCTGAATTGTAACTTCGACATAACTAATGCACTTGCATTCTCGATGCTTTTTAATAGTTGTGAACTGGTGTTTTTGAATTCCTTGAATTTGTCTCGGGCATCATTATAAAAGAGCTTGTTTTTAGGTTGCATTTCAATTTACGAGAATTATCACTTAGGACATTTTACTGTATGTGCGGTACCTGGACGATTGAGCGTATTTCTGAAATAATGGTTATATGCTGACGGTCCTGTAGAATTGCAGCGAAAGGGACATTAGTGCATTAGTGTTGCTTTATCGATGGGTTTTCATCAGCCATTAGTAGTGTGTCGGTGTTTTCACTAAGTTTCCCGAAAGCCCTGGTTCAACCTTAGACGCAGCTTCTGACTGCCAAGCTCCAGAACCGGACACTCACCAGGGACCAAACGTATCATTCGCGCTTTGCCCTTTGTTTTGCGGTCTGATTAAGATCTTGATGGAGAGGAGAGGGTAAACGTAATCCAGAATCTTTAGTAAGCATTCCAGGCCCCCGAAATAACTTGTGTGCAGGTTTTAATCCAGATTCTGACGTTCCGATGGAAAAAAAAGAATGGAAATGCCTGTGGGATAGAAGACAGTAATCTGGTCAAGTCATTCTCTCTCCTCTCTATTCATGTAATATAACAGCAGTTTGTGTGTATAATAAAAAAGAAATAAATCGCATTGTTCGTTCTACACGCGTAGAGCCCCGATAAGCGTGCGCGCTGTGAGTTGGCGAGTTAGAAACAGTTTAAGCCGCTGGTTCAGTTATATCCGATAGGGGGCAGTGCTGAGCAAAAGCGCCACCGGTTTCTTTTAGCGCAATGACGTTCCTGTACGTTTTGTGATTTAAACATTTTGATAGACTAACCATTGTTTATTTGCACCTGCTTACTAAAATCATATTTACAATATTTATTTTGTACTTTTTGTACTGCAACCCTATAATCGACTGAGAACTGTCCATAGCGTCAATCGATGCTGTTTTTTTAATTAACCATTTCGCAAAGTCTCATTTGAGAATTATCGTTTGAGACCTACAATAATAGTTTAATTTTCCGTGAAATGTGATTTAGTTGCTTAAACTGATACTTAGCCCAGTACATTAAAATTGACTTTCAAAGACAATCGGAAAGGTAGAGATTTTGATTCACTGACCTAAAAATCCATTCCCAGCAACACATATCAGCTGCAGAGCAGTGCAAGTCCCCTCTTCTATATTAACGGCTCTCACAGGCACTACAGTCCCCATAATAAACATAGATTTGCGAGCTGTTGAAGTAGACTGTGATGGATTGCTTCAAGTCTAGGTTTGGCAGCACATCTGTGTTTAATTAGTAAACATTGCACACGTGAAACATACACATATTTGGCATTTTATCTTTGCAGATTATTTCACTGTTTTGAGTCTGCATAAATATGTGCATTTGCATAAACATGTTTTGAACCTTTAGTCTAATATGAAAGTATTTCATCATTAATCGGGACGATAATTAGAACCATATTGGCTAGATTAATACTTGTCAGTCTGAAAGTGACATCACAATTCTAAGCAATCACTTGCCATTTTCTTGTTTGCTAACCTAACAAAGGCCAAATGCACTTATGGGATTAAGTCCAATAATTGCTATACTCTGGTGAATGTTCATTCCAGATGTTAGAAGGTCCATTGAATAAAATGGTTGAATTTTGTGTCTGATGTGTTAGTCATAGTTTTAATAAAAATTAGGTTTTTATTAGCTTTTGCCGTTTATATTACCATGTTATTGTTTTTCGTGATTGTGGTTACGCAGAATTGCTGCTTTAGTTTGATAAAAGAGGGTAAAATGTAAAAGGTTTATCAATATTTATAGGACCTTCATCTTGGAAAATAAACAAAAGGATTGTACACCGTCCCTGATGCTTTGGATATTCATTACTGCTCGTGAGGTGGCCTCTGCATTTAAATTTTCATGTTTACTTCAAGCCTGATAAAAACCTGCTGGGGTTTTGGCTGCCCTTTATCTGGCAGAAGAATTGCAAGGCAGTTCTGGAGCACAGCCTGGATAGCTTTCAGGTATACGGGGGAGTTTCTAAGCAGACGTGCAAGTGCAAAGACAAATGGATTTTCTGTTGCATCTGCAGCCCCTGGGTCAATTTGTCCATCGGAACAGACGATGCTCCCTTATCACACTTCGAGCAGAAAAACGGACGTGCACCCTGTCCGGCGCTGTGACTTCCCAGGTGCACATTTTCGCTGCTCACACTTGGATCAAGCCATCCGCCAAGCTCCCGAGCTTTCACATTGCGCGCTGAACAAACGTGTCTTCTGTAGCATTAATATTCAAATGTCCTGATGCACAATGCGTCCCATTCAAGTGTTTTGCCAGATTCAAGACGCTTCTTTGAGATGTTAAGCAAGCCTCCTGGTTCTCATCTTTAATGAACTTATGAGGGCCCTTGTTAGCTCTCAGACCATGAACCCGCCGTGCCAAAGCTGCTTTGAGTGCCACAATAGCTTTGTCAGGAAACCTATCGCATTCTATTGCCTCCATAGTAACCAAAGTGAAAAGGGGAGGGGCCAAGTCCGGCAGCCGTGTGATTATAAGCATAAATCATTTCATTTGGTAAATGCGTCCAGCGGTGACTTAAACAATGTCCCTCATCAGATTTGTCTGCTGCGTTTTGAAGCCACGTTATGAACATGAGGGCTGTGACTGTGGGGGCCCTGCCCGGCACTGCCATGGCAATTGGGGTGGGGTGGAAAGATCTTCACCCTGTCTGGCTCCACCATGTCATAGAAGTGTATAAGACAGAGAAGTGCAATCGGTTTGCCTTCCTCTATAACAAACGTTTATACCAGCACAAAAGACAAAGGCCAGTTGTAGCCTGTATTTCCATAAAGGCAAAAATGTTTTTTTTTTTTAAGAAGAAACGACTGATGGATTTGTCGTAAATGTTTTCAAATGTGGATGACCTTCTTTTATAAAAGTGGATCAACAATATGGATTCTGCTCTAACTGCATGTTTTATGTTTTTTTTACGTAAAGGCTTTTGTGATAACACCTGTAGGACACTACTGCAGAATTGTTAACATATTACCTTCAAGCTCGCATGTAAAATATAATTTTGTCTGATACATCGAAGATGAGTCAGTCAAGCCTTTTCTGGACGATAATAAGCAGAGTTCCTGTTTTGCAAACGTCTGTGAAAACGACTCTTGAATGGATCTTGCTTTCAGGGAAACGTGCTGCATTTGATGCTTCATTTGGTCGTTTCCCATTGCTTGGGTCAGCGTCAGGCACCGAGGTGTTTCAGGCCGGCTGCTTTGTGTCACTGCTTGGACACCAGCTGACCCGCATTGTGCTGTTGCCCTGGCAATAAGGTCAAAGGGCAGGGCTGTCTTGTTTGCTGCTTTTCCTCTCGGAGGGTGTTCATATGTACCATTACATGCGCCTATGTATACCTAATACCTAATCAGTAAAAATAACTGTATGATTTCTAATGTAACCAGTGTTGGGTTTTGCTGGAAATTCTCAAGATGGTTGAGTTCTGTAGTGATTGAATTTTAACGTATAATACATAAAACAATAACGGTATGAAACAAGAAAATGAAACGAGAAGCTCTCTTGGATCTGTAAAAAGTGTATGGGTTCATTTTGGTGTCTTGCCCCATATGGGGCCCTCCCCAAAGATAAGGTGTTCTTAGCTTCTAAAGCCAAGGACACGTCTCAGCGTTTCTCCAGAAGACTGTCTTTGCTTAGACCTAACAAGCCTGATGGCGCCGTATGAAAAACAACCAATCAGTCCATGTCGAAGGTCACGAGGTGTAGAGAAGGTCAGGGTGCCTAACATGGAAAAGTAAAAATATATTGGCAAGAATATATGAAAATACATTCTTTCCCACTCCTGGCAGTTAAAGGCAAAGGTTAACGATCAGTCATTTAAATTTTTTTATGTTGTTTTTATTGATTTGCTTTATGAATTTATTTCTCTCAATCCAACTGGTCTTTCCGTTGCTTCTTTGTGCTGGTTACACTATTCACTATTTTGTGACCAGTGTGACACAGTTGTGCCGTGAGGGATTTTCATGTGCATCTGCATGCAGTGACGCGTTCCCCTTTAACTGCAACAATCGGCATCCTCACCCCAGGTGTTCACCCAGAAACCCACCTGTCAGGCGATACCGCTGTGAGCTCCAGCCTCCGTATGAATGTTTCATCCTGATCCTGATCCTGACTGCTTCTCTCTCGCTCACTCTTGACTAATGCAAAGCCCTCTGTAAAGGAGTGAGGTAATGAAATTTCAAGTGCACAATGGTTTCGGTCCATGCGGTTGTTTCCCCCGATGTTTCCATGACGATAAATGACGCTGTAGCAGGACGATATCCGAGACCCTCACAAGTTGAGCGCGTTTGGGCTGCTTTCCACAGAACTTCACAGTGAATGAGATCACGTTGGTAAGCCTGCGTTTAGAATTTCTGC